TGAAATAATTCCTCGAAATTTTCGTTATGCAACCCCATGAAAATTGTATGCAGTCGTATGTAGAAAAATGTGCTGAATCCAAAAAAAAGAACATGTGCTGTTTGAAAAAATAAAGTTGATGACCACAATAACGCGACTATAATAGATAATTTTCACGGTCACCAGACTATGTAAAGAAACCATAAAAAAACCTTTTATTTTAAACATTTCTCCACTAAACAAATATTTAAAAATATACAGGCATTATTCACTACTTATTCCGGAGTATCGTCCTCAAACTGTGACAAGAAGAAATAAATATTTTATTTTGTTTTCGACGTTCAAAGTGAAACTGCTTATTTGCGATTCCACCTATAAGATACAAATTAATGTAATATTTCTTATACCATACATCCAAATAAAAAAACAAGTAAATTGGTTCTACAAAGAAAACTGCTTAGTTCTTTAAATTTATTTGTTGGCTTCCTCTACGTTCTATCCGAAAAATACTTGTGATTTTACCTTGTATATTGGACATCAAAAAAATATAACAATTAACCTAAACCGCAACGTACATTGATTTATTTTTTACCTTTAAATATTTTCTGAGCATTTAAATACGATCCAAATTTGGTAATGTTTGTATCTTTTTTCATGTGTGTCATGACTCATGAAGTAAAATGACCTTTAAATTGCTTCCAAGAAAGGGGTCTGTTTGCGAAATTAGTGTAAAAAATTATTTTTTTGTGAAATAACATCAACCAGAAGAGTTAGGCAAACACGTTTTTAAGAGAAAAAGATCCCTATATACAGGGTGGGACAATAGTGCGTCGGACTTCGATATCTCGAGTTCTATGATAGTTAGAAACAAAAAAGTCCAACACCGGAAATTATTTGCGAATATACAGGGTGAGCCAAGACGACTCTACAGGATCAAGTAACATTTTCTTAAATGAAATGTATATCAGAACATTTCTTGAAACCTCTCTGTGGCCTCCTTTCACTCCTATATTATTATTGGCATTCTCCCAACCACTTGGAAGTAATGATTTTTTTTTGTTGAAATTATATCATTTACACGTGTATTTTAAAAATATCACTATAATCACAACTATCGATTTCAAGAAAAAATATGTTAGTATCAGTTATGAGACATTTGTGTGAGACACTTAGCTATTTTCTCTTCCTGAAAGTGTACAGGGTGGCCAAAAATAATTTTTAAATTTACTTCTTGAACTGAAATTTTTTTTTTTTTTTTAAATGGAACATCCTGTATATTTTTTAACGATGTGATGTAGGATTGAAAAACGAAGATTTTTTGTACGTACATTCCTATTTGTGGCCATTTTCAATTTATTGGACAATAACGGCAAAATTCATTAATAAAAATTAAAAATCAGAGTTTTTTTCAAATAATTCAAGAAAAGAAATTATAATAAGCGTGTTACATGATGCCCATAAAAACATCACACCAACAACAATTCAAAACTTGAAGGAAATGATAAAAAATGCTTTTAGAAGTATCACTCAGGCAATTTTATGAACAGTAGAAACCTCATTCCAAAGACGCATAGAAATGTGTGTCAATCAAAATGGGCAACATATGGAGCACTTTTTAAAATATTTTCTCTTGAGTTACAAACAAATTATTTTTAATTTTTTTTTGCTGAATTTTGCAGTTATTGTTCAATAAATCGAAAATGGTTACTAATAGCCACAGGGATGTACGCACAAAAATGTTTGTTTTTTAATTCTACATCACATCGTCTCAAAATATACAGGGTGTTCCATTTGAAAAAACTGAGACAATTCAGTTCAAATAGTTGTAAATTTAAAAATTATTTTTGGCCACCATGTATACTTTTAGGAAGTGAAAATGGCTGTCATCACACAGATGTCTTTTAACTGGTACTAACACATTTTTTCCTTAAATCGATAATTGTGTCTGCAGTGATTTTTTTAATATACACGTGTATGCCATAATTTCAACAAAAAATTATTACATCCAAGTAGTTGGGAGAATATCAATCATAATATAGGAGTGAAAGGAGGCCACAAAGGGGTTTCAAAAAATGTTCTGATATACATGGCATTCCATTTAAAAAAAAATGTTAGTTGACCCTGTAGAATCGTCTTGGCTCGCCCTGTATATTCGAAAATGATTTCCGGTTATAGACTTTTTTTGTCTAGATTATTTATGTTTTTAAGTCAAGTTTCTGGCTATCATAGAACTCGACATATCGAAGCCGGACGCACTATTTCCCCACCATATATATTCATTTGTTTCGACATGACTTAAATTTTCTAATAAAAATGGCGATAAAGTTAATACTTCTTTTTAATTTATGTACGTAAACAGTTGTAAGTTTTCGTTCTCCACTTGAAATCGTTATTGGGATATCTCTTCTAAATCATTTTCATCATTATATTTGATATCAATAACTTCCTCTTCTTCTTCCTCTTCTTCTTTCTCTTTCTCTTCCTCCTCATCTTTTTCTTCACTATCTAACGATTGTGGCTTTGCCTAATCGAAAGCATGACGATCATATTTTATCTGTTTGATATCAAACAGATAAAATATAAGTTCTAAGTCACTTTGATGCCAAAGTGACTTTCTAGCCGACTGTGATTCTTCTATAGCTTTGGGGTATTTTATATTCTTTGGTAAACCGGCCAACAACTGTGTGCCTGGCAATTACTTCATTTAATATGTTCTATTAGGCATTCTCTCAATGGTGCTATTGAAGAGAAATTTACTTTGCTATTAATTGAAAATGGCAAGTCTTTGCCATAACATTTTTGATTGAAAAGTTGAAGGTTGATATGTTGATCGCCGATGTCTCAGTTACATTCTTTTGCTTGAAATGCCTCTAAATATTTTGAATATTTAGGAGATAAAATAATATAATTTGTTTTCTCTTGTTTTTTGTTCTGAAAAACGTTAGTCATATATATTTCATCAATTTTTTTATATTGATGATTAATAAGCCTGTAAATGCATCAAGTATGGGACACCCTGTACGGTGCTTCTATATTATCTGTTACGTTAACTCGATAAAATATGTACCCTGAATGAAGTGGGTCAAAGTGAAATTGGTGCAAATGGGCTTATTATGACAAACAATTTTATTTTATGTGATACTAGGTTACAAATAGTTCTCATTTAGGTCTAGTTTTATATAGATAGTTATGTTGTCTCTTCTGTTTACTATCTTATTTTTCTTGTATCGATTATTTTTGTAGTGTATAACTTTTTTGTGGGATAATGAAAACGTCTGTAAATTAATTCGTATATAATAGTGAAAAAAACAAAAAAAAACATGTTTCAATTATAAAGAAAAATCAGTTTGGCCAAAGAAATAATTGTGTAGCCCTGGGTTACAAAAAAAGCACAAGTTAATATAACGTCCTATATTGGATTTCTCTTCAGCTTCTCAATGACTTAACTTTAGGTCAGTAAGTTGTCAATGTCAAATAAACGGAAAAAACAAGTGTTGAGTCTTGATAAGCAAAAAGAACAAACGTTACGGGAAACTTTCTCATTGCTGTGTTTATTAACTGGAAATAACTAAGTTTGCATTCTTTAAAGAAGTAGTATTGAAAAGTATTTCAGAACATAACAACAAACACATCTGCTCCCAGTAATATGTCTAATAAAATACTTTAATGTAAATTTTAAATAAAGCAGGAAATAAACTCCGTTAGAAATGGAAGTTGGCCAACTAGAGGTCTATTGAACAACAAATTTTTTAGGCACTACATTGCCATACATGGAACACTAATGTACCTATACGAGTATAAAATATTGATTAATACACATGTTGGCAGCTTCCTTATATTTTAAACTGCAGAAATAAATATTAATAGAATTCAGTAATTCCCGAGATGCTAAATAAAATACATTTCCAAGTTATCTTTTTATTTATAACAACATACAGTATATTGAACTAAATGTTTATTAGTTAATCACAAGAATTGCAAAATTGCATATTTCAATAAACAGAAACCAATTAATTATGTCAAACTTTAACCCAGTATATAGAACCTGCCGAATAAGTGTTTTAAAAAGATATAAATACGCCGGTGAGACAGGTAGAGGGGGGTCTATGATGGTCCATCTAGTAAAACATATCTCCACCATGACTTCAACTTGGTAAGACCCTTATAATGTGTTTTTATTGTATTTCTATTGCTGGTTTTTATTTGTTGTTTTTTATTGAATGTGAGATTTTGTACATTTGCTGAAATAAAAGCGTGGTATTAATTTCTGACTACGTTCTTTGTTTTCTAACCTCTTGCAGCCAGTACCTCGTCAGGACTATTACTATACGATAGTCGTGACAATATGATCTTGAAGTACTAGTAGTTATTGCACTTCAAAATGGTTTTGCCGTGCCTAAAGAAATTGTTGTCGATTCCAGTAGATCTCTAGTTGGCCAAATTACTGTCCATTGCTAATGGACTAGTGTCAGATACTCAAAAAAAAAAATCAGTGAACACGGACGCGTGTTTCGGAAATATAGCTCGTCATTAGCGTAGCGTAGTTAGAAAATTGTATATAGGATGAGATAAATCAAAACAGATATGGTCCATTTTTCCTGCGAGGAATAATCGAGTTTTACATAGGTGAATTTAAAAACTCAGCAAGATGTAAAGTAGAAACTTTTGTAACAGTTCGCTAGATGGCTATAGTCGTAAAAGGTTTTTGCAAATTTAAATTTTCATAAAAAAAAAATGTAGACATTTAAAATATTCTCAATTAAATTTCAAGAGGGAAAAAGATTATTAAAAAATATATATAAAAAGCTTTTTGTTTATCATTGCATATGATTGTTTGTTTTTTTTTTGTTTCTTAAAATGTTTTCTTAACCGCCTCTCAAGTCCCAGAAAATCCTAGTATTTTATGTTGAGTAAAGAAAGATGAGGCTCTACAATTTATTGTGGAGTCCAAATCACACCTAGAGTATCGACAATTCTCTCCCATCTTAATCTGAAACAAATTACAAATACAATTTCCAACTTGCTTCGGGATGGATTCGAACCATCGATATTCGGTACCGAGCGCTTTACCCACTCGGCTACCATGCCCCATCTGTAAAAATATTGTTTATAACCACAATTTTTGATAAATTAAATTACATGTATTGTAATAGCACTTTAAATAATATGCTATCATCCTGATAACTCGTTTACCAATCCAGGGAAAAACACATTTAATATTTTTTTATCACACTTGTCCCATATGTTGTTACCTATGTATATACCTTAGAATCTGTTAAAAAATATTATAATGTATTTTTTAATATGTATATGAACTGACCACGATTAAATTTACGTAGTCTTTTTTAGGACTATTTTGATATTTTTAAGTGAAACATGCCAATTTGCAATTTTTTTTGCGTTCTTCATTTCAAGCCTTTAACCCTTTATAGGGCAAAAGACTTCCCATTGTTATTTTGAACTCATATTTGGAACAGGGGTTCTACACCACTTCTTCTTTTCTTGGCATAACCTTTCATATGAGTATATCCAGGTTTCTATTCGGAGCAAAGATTATTTATTAGTTCATTCAGTAATAAAGATCTGGACTGAAGATGACATACCTTTTTGTTTATTGTTTTTGATAGTCTCTTTGTAAATAATAAAAGCATTTACCACAGAGCAATCCACGAGATAATAAAAAATGTTAAGCCACCAACGTCTAGATTTTTGAGCAATGTTGTAAGTAGATAACATTTGGTCAATTCGGTCAACACCACCTATATACTTGTTATAGTCAGATATTGATGTTGGACATGGCACCTCCTCACGCTCAAATGGTTGTGTGGACAAAACTTTCTGTTCGTTCGGAAAGTACCACAGGAAAATAAAAATTTTTTCAAAAGTTCTGCTAAGAGTTTCATCGAAGTAACAAAAAATATCAAAGAAAATACAGTAACCTATGCCATTCAGTGCCTGTGTTAATTTTAGGACTACTCTTTCACCTAGACTATATGTGTTAGTCGTAGAAGGTATAAACATCACTTAAACACGCATAATATCTTGCCGATTTACCAGTCAGGGTTTCGTGCTGGTCATAGCTGTTCAACAGCATTACTTACTATTGCTGATGATATCTTTAAAAGTATTGATGATGGGAAGACTGTAGCTTTGGTTTTGTTAGACTATTCCAAAGCTTTTGACACCATAAGTCACCAAATTTTGTTGTCTATTTTGCATTTTGTGGGATTTTCAGAGAGCGCAATAAAACTAATAAAAAACTATTTGAATAATAGATTCCAGTATGTTGAAACTAGTAATGGGGAGTCAGGTATGGGTCGTATTTTAGGCGGAGTTCCGCAGGGTTCTATTTTGGGACCCTTATTATTTAGTACATATACGTGTAATATAACAGTATCCATGCAATATTGTTCTGTACATTTATATGCAGACGACACACAATTATATCACTCATTTTTTCCTAATGATATGATTAATGCTACAAATAATATAAATAATGATATAAGAAGTTTAATTGCGATATCAGAAAATCATCACCTAAAAATAAACCCTAACAAATCTTCCGTTTTAATATTTGGTAAATCGCGGACATTAATTGAAGAGAATATTAATGTTACCATAAATGATAGTATGTTAGCATGTTCTAAAGTTGCAAAAAATCTAGGAATTGAATTTGACACAGAATTACGATTTAAAAAGCTGTCTCAAAATGTTTACAAAAGGCGTATTCTAACTTAAAATTTTTATTTCCCCACCGCCGCTTCCTCTCTCATTCGCTTAAAATTAAGTTGACTGATACCTTTGTCCTGAGCCATTTTCATTATTGTGATGCACTGTATGGGCCATGTTTGGACAAAGTTACTTCAAATAGAATTGAAAGAGGTCAAAAATCTTGTCTTCGTTTTATTTACGGTATCAGGAAACATGATAAAGTTTCAAATAAATTGAAAAGTGCCAACTGGCTTAATATGGCAGCGAGGCGCAATTCTGCATTCTCTAACTCTTTATAATCGTATTTTAGTTAATAAATGTCCACCTTATTTGTATAACAAAATTAAATTTCGAACTGACAACCACAATTTGAATTTAAGATTTAGAGGCTTGATTTCTCCTCCTCCCCACTATACCTCTATGTATTGTAGGTCATTTTCTTATTGTATTTACAACCTATATAATAAAATCCCGGCATCATTAAAATATTTAAAACCATCTTTGTTTAAAACTAAACTAAAAAGGTATTTATTCAACTTTTAATGAATTACCTATTTAAACCATATTATTCTCATATTAATATCGTGCTTTCATAAAAAAAAATTTAGTAAATCTCAGTAAATTAAAATAAATTGATTATTTTCTCTTTTTTTTCTTTTGTACTTATTTTGTTCTTGTTTAATAACTTACATACTCATGCATTGATTTAGTTATGTGTATATGTTATTTTGCTTTCAAGGCTGGAACTTTGATCAGCAGGTTCCTTGGAACCATGTTGTTTCCAGTCTTTTTGTAGTTATAGAAATTGTATATAAAATGACGTTGTAACCAAATCCTGTTATTTATTTTATAACTACAATAAATTATATTATTATTATTATTATATATCCAGTGACAGCACAACACATAACCCACACTTTGAAACCTCTTTTTTATAGGTTTTTGTGGCATATATTGCTTCATGGCAGATCGCCCTTTAAATGCAACCATACTTTGATCGATCGATATGTATCGTGAAGGAGCAAAAGATGTTCCAAAATTTTCCCCAAAATAGTCCAGAAGGAGCCGTAGTTTATACAAACGATCAAAATCGGGGGCACTCATTGGTGGCATCATATTATTGTCAGCGAGATGCAAATATCTTAAAATCTTTAGAAAACGTTTGATTGTAATGACACGTGCTACTCTTTCACAATGAAAATTTTCGTCTGTGGACCAGTAGAGCTTCATACTAGGTAGTGAATGAAAGCCCATGAAAATAATTATTATCCCAAACCAAGTCTTCAACTCATTGATCGATAATAATTGAAGCTGATTTCCTTTTGTGTAGCATATAAGTTTGACAGAACTACACTTTCCAGTAACAGAAATTCAGAAAAGAACAAAAGAAAATATCGAAGAGGATTTTTCACATCTGCTGGAGTTATCTTTGGACCAAATGGCTTTGAGAACAAATAATCCTCAAAACATTTAGGACCTTCTGCCTGCTTGTTCCAATAATACATTTCTTCACTAATATTTTCAGTTGAATTTTCTTGGTCACTCTTAACTATCCTCAATTTCGCGTGTCTCGAGACCCACTAGTGTCACTGTCCTCGGTACTAGAATCTAAAGATTCAGGTATATAATCTGAGTGAAAATCATCACTTTCCTGCTCAAAATTATCCTGGTGACTATATGGTGGTAATTAGTGTAACCCGGTAGTCCTCTTTTTTTGTTGTAAATTGCAATCCTCAGCATCAGGATCGCCACCAATATCCGAGTCCATCGCCTGTTCATCTGTGATTGTTTCGAGTTCAATAGCCACTTCGTTGACAAGACACTCGAGGTCTTTATCCGAAAGGCCAGCCATGACTTCTAAAACAAAAATACAATTTATTGGCGAAAGTAGTTACCTATATGAAATTATATTGTGCTAATTATACAGTACCGCGCGAAATCGACGTGGTCGTGATATCGGTGGAGCAGCGTTAATATATCTATTTCACTTTCGTACATGTTTGTTGTTACTTTTAATTTCTTTAACTCGCAATTAGTATTATTATAAATTAAGGAATTTTTATTAATGCATAACATTTCTTCATCACAATCTAATTACTTATGAAATAGTTTCTTTGGCAATCACTGTTTATTAATTGTTGTGTCTACTTCACTGCTTAGGTATTTCGCTTTATTACTTGTAAGTGCTAAAAAATCTATTAAAAAATATTTAAAATAGTGATGATGATGTGTTTGGGATACTACCAGAGTTACTAACAACTGCAAAAAATGTGACTTTAAATAATTTAATGTTATATTTCTTACTAAAAAATGCATTTTTAATGTGAGTTGGTTTGTCTGCGTGTATTTATTTACTGACTAAAATATTTATAAAAAACCTGTACGGGAGTTACTTTCCCGGCTTAGGTCGGAATAGTAACTTTCTCCTACTGTTTTATGACAGTGGCTTAGTAACGGACTAAAATACTAGAATAGTGTATTTTGGGATTTGAAATTACGCCGAGAAGTATACATGCGATTTCTAAAAAAATAATATTTGAGACTGTTTCTTGGGATTTTCGGTCAAATATCATGTCATTTTTTCTAACGTTTCGATTTATTAAACCATCATCAGAGAACTACAATTAAAATATTTTTAAATACAGTTTTACATAGTTAAATAAATTACATTATGTACTTACACTATTAATAGAGGTACTTATTTTAAATTTGATTACATATTTGATGTTATTTGTTTGTCTGTTTTAACGTAACTAAACTATTTTACGAGGCACTTTAGGTTCCTAAAGTTTTGTTTATATTATGAATTTGAATACACACAATTAGTCTTGATTTCATGCAAAACCTGCATTTACTGTTGTAGGTAGTAATGGAATAATGGAGAGCTGATAGACGACAAAGACAGTTGCTCTGCGCTCCTCACATCGGCACAGAACAACAAGAATGAATGTTATTTATTGCGGCGTCTCCGGTCTCCGTGAGAAGTCGACATTCGTTTGCACATTGTATCGCGCCGGCGCGGCGGGCGCCATTACTGACAACAAAGCAGTATACAGTCAACTTTCTTCCGCATATTTAAACTTTAATTTTCTTACTTTTTATCGCATTAAACATAGGTTTTGCATGAAATCGAGACTAATAATGTGTATTTTAAAGTGGATGTTTTTAGTTAAATAGTGTGAGTATATGATAAAGATATTTTGTTATAAGAAGTTCGACATCGGCAAGTTGTAAAAATTGAATTTATATTACGTATTACCATTACCCAATCATTTAATCTAGCTTGTTAAAATAGGTTTCACTTAAATTTTCTATATTTCTTCAGTTGCTTATTGCGGTGGCCTGTCTTTTTATTTGCAACGTTTCATGTATATTT